ATTCCCCCAGCTGTGAGCCTTCCAACCTTCTAAGTATTCCTTTATATGTGGTTCAGAGTTCTGGGACCATCCCCTGAGCCTGCTTTGTTGGGTATTCTGTGTTGTTGGTGAAGCTCTCTGCTCTACGTCCACCCGATCCGCCATCTTGTTTGTTCCTTCAGGATACCCATTTTTAAGGGTACAATGTCATAAGTCCCAGAGCTTTTTATTAAGAGACAAGTGAGCATTATAGAACAGTGTTATAAGGATTTCATAGACGGAGACCTAAAAAATATCTTAGTGAAAAAATTTAAACTTTTGATAGGAAAGGTTTGGATTAGTGAAGAGAAATGGAGAGAAGGACATATTAGGTTCGTGGTGTATTAAAGTAATCAAGACAATTAATAAGAGCCTGTGATGAGGAGGTAACCGACCCTGGACAGGCCTTGAATGGAGGTTGACAGCCAATGGAATTGACAGTGATTGCAATAGGGAACATTTTTATGTTGTTGAGCAAGTGACAGCAGTGACGTATACTATTAGAATTAACACAGTGGAAGGTTCTTGTTAGATGTGAAGGCGAGGACACTGGATGTTTGTTGAGGCCATTTTAGAAAATACTGAGATTTGGGATGATAAATGTGTGGCTTTGGATGGTAGCGTAAAGAATTGACAAGAAAAATTAGATTTGAAAACTGAATGAAAGAGAGAGCTTAGTGACTGTGCAGGGCCAGAAAAACTCCTTATTACAAGCTAGGATTGCTCAGGTTGACTAGCATCACCTGATCACTCTGTTAGGCAAAGTTAGAACAGAGTTTGAAATAATAACAAATAAATACTGTCTTTAAATTATGCTGCATAAAATTAACTTGGAACTTTTGTTGTACTTCAGTAGTTTAAAGTCCAAGAGAAATATAGGTAATATTTCCTTTGTGTCTTTTGAATATTTTATTTGGAATCTAACAAGTAAAATTAGTTTCATTACCAAAGAAAAATCCTGGTGGCCTAGTATACAGCATCACAGCAACACGCAGCCAGCACAGTATGACAAACTGATGGGTGAGAAAGGTAGTATTTAAAGTCAAAAGGAATGTTTTATGTCTTTTGTTTGTGTGGTTTTATTTATTTAATTGCAATTTTTCCTTTAAATTTTAGTCTTTGATAACTGTAGCATTCTCTGTGTGTATCTCTAAAGAAACACATTTTTAAAATTCTAATGTCTAATTTATTATTGCCTCTCAGCTGGGACAGTGATGTTTGAGTACGGGATGCGTCTTGGCAGAGAGGTTCGAACTCTCCGGGGACTTGAGAAGCAAGGCAATTGTTATCTGGCTGCTATTAACTGTTTACGACTGATTCGACCAGAATACGCGTGGATAGTGCAGCCAGCATCTGGTGCCGTGGTATGGAAAATTTCCCAACCTGGAATTTGGGGATCGTTTAATATTCTTGATTTGGTCTCTTCAGTTACCTCAAATTACTTGATTTTTCTTCATGCCTGTAACATTTCTAGTGGGATGTTTGTGAACTTCATGTATTTTGAACCCGTGTTTGTATGTCCATGAGCCCTGCTGAAAGAGTAAGCTAAGCTTTGGGCTGCTGGCCACAAACCCACCAGCTGCTCCGCGGGAGGATGAGGCTCCCTGCGCTCATAAAGACTTACAGCCTCAGAAACCCCAGCGAGCACCTGTACTCTGGCCTACAAGGTTGCTATGAGTTGGAATCAACAGTGAGTTTTTGTTACATACCAGTTCCCTTTTGGTTCCCAAACTCAGAATATGTTGCTGAGTGGTTTTGGAGTTAGTCTTGATTGACTTTGGACTAGTCACTTAGTCTTCCTCTTAACATAAAATAGAGATGACAATACCATCCAGCTAATGGGATTGTTTGGAGGAGGAAATGAGGTGATTTGTGTAAATTAGTTAGAACAGTATCACTGCCTGGCCTACAGAAAAAAACCAAAAGTAAACCAGTTGTCATTGGGTCGGTTCTGACCACGTGTGTGTCAGTAGAACTGTGCTTCGCAGGGTTTTCAGTGGATGATTTTTCATGAGTAGATCCCACTCATGGTGCCGTGTGTGTGTCAGAGTAGAACTGTTCCTCACAGGATTCTCAGTGGTGCATTTTCAGAAGATCAGAAGGCCTTTCTTCTCAGGGACTTCTGGATGGACTCGAAACTGCAACGTTTTGGATAACAGCTGAGCATTTACCCATTTTCAGCACCCAGGGACTGGTATACAGAAAGGGCTCAAGAAGTGGTAGCTACTTTTAGTTCAGTCGTGTTTGTTAGTCTGTAATTGTTTTAAAGGCATATACTTCGTGTTTTTCTGGTAATGCTGATTGGATCATGGGATCATATGTACCCACTTACATTCTGTGGTGCTGTTAAATAAGTGCTGTCGAGTCACTTCTAATTCATAGTGACCCTGTATAGGGTTTCTGAGGAGTGGTTGATGGATTTAAACCACCAGACTTGGATAGCAATCCAGTGCTTTTCCTGTTGTATCATTTCAGCATTTATTAGCCTATTGCTCGAAGTAATGGGTGGAGAATATAACTGTGGAACCAAGAAAACCCAGGTAGTCTATAGAGATAAATCCATGCCTGTGGATTCCTTAACTTTTTAGAGACTTATGTACATCTGATGCCTAAAGTAGCTTTGTAAAAAGAGCTATATTCCTTAAAATAAAAATAATCTATATTGGAAGAATTTAAGTATGAAAACTCTGAATAACAGTTAGGGAGATCAAAATATAATTCTAATTTTCACATTGTAGAGGATTGCAATCAATGTCATGAAACAAAATGTGTATGAATTACTGAATGGTAAACTAGTTTGTTCTGTGAACTTTTACCCCAACCTGCCCCCACCCCAAATTTTAAATTCTAATTTTCACAGTTGAATCCCTTGCTTTGTCTTGCCAGTATGATCGCCCTGGCGCATCCCCAAAGAGGAATCACGATGGAGAGTGTACAGCTCCTCCAAGTGAGTTGGGCCTTAAACTGAACCGAGTGTGTATTTGTGTTGTATTTAAATGGGCTTAGTGCCAGACTTTGTATATCATCAAGGAGATATGGTGTCCTTCCACAAAGGGTGTAGGCTCTAGAGGGGGCATAACCTACCTGGCTTCTAATTCTACCTCTCTGATCTTAGACACGTTCCTTTCTTCCTGACAGAGATCACTGTATTTTACAGTTGTCAGAATTAAATAAAAACTCATGTGAAGTTGCAGCTGTTGCTATGGAAATACTTTGCATGTGACTCAACTCTGCAGACTAACAACTGCTGGTAAAGCAGAGACCTCGCTTCACTTTTGCATTAGCTTTCAGTGAGCCCCTTGTTTTCTCTTCCGCTTCATGCCTTTTTAAATAAATTTAATGTCAATGTCTAGTGGAAGTAGGAACATTGAGTTTATCTAACTATCACTTCCTTTGTACTTTTGGGATTGAAAATATTTTTTCTTTGATGTCTAGCAAATCGGCAAATTGAAATCCTGGAATTGGAAGATCTGGAGAAGGAGTGTTCCTTGGCTCGAATCCGCCTCACTTTGGCTCAGCATGACTCATCAGCGGTTGCAGTTGCAGGTAGGAATCCAGCCGTTAGAGCTGTCAGTCAGTACCAAAAGCACATTTTAGAACCAAGCTGTGGATATGCTATGTATTCTCAGAGATATTCCTCAGCAAGCTAAGTCTTCAGACACACTTGAGTATTTTCTGTTGGTGGCTGAGTAATGTTTTTGCATCTCCACAGGAAGTTCATCAGCGGAGGAGATGGTTACCCTCTTGGTTCAGGCTGGCCTCTTTGACACTGCCATATCACTCTGTCAGACTTTCAAGCTTCCCTTAACGCCAGTCTTTGAGGGACTTGCTTTCAGGTAGATAAGAGATTATGATTTTACAGATTGTGGATGCAATAACATGTACCTTTGTTGTCTGTAACTCTTGTGCATTGTTTGTTGTATAAAATCTTTTTATAATCTTAATTTTCTAACATGAAGCTATTCTACTATTGCTTACTGTGAAGCAGTCGTCACAAGCCAGTAATCTGTGAGCTGTTTGAGGTTTAAAGAAATGCTCTGTTTAATCCACACAACAACTTTAAATTCTTTTTTACTCTAAGTGATGGTGATGAAAATTAGGGTGATTTTACATTTTTTTAAAATCTAGATTTATCGCTTCTATTGAGAAATCAGAGGGTATAGTATCCATAGGTTCACAGTCCCATCCAACAGGTAACTTGGGTCAAAGGGTGGTATCCATTTTAGACAAGGCTTATCTGCTCTTCAGTCCCTTAGGAAACCTGCCAGCCCTGTAAGCGTTATGAAAAAGTGCTTCTTATTTCATTGACCTAATGCTTAGTTGTTAGTCAGGTGGCCTATGAATTGGAAATCCTTTTAAACTTCCAGAACTTTGCATCAGTAGTTTTCACTCAGTAGTAAATTATCTCCTAACACTTACTCAGACTTCCTGGGTCGTCCAGTTGTGTGGCTCTGAGGAGATGAATTCAGCAAAAGACTAGAACTGAAGCTGTCATCTTAGCTCTCTATTTTAGTAGCAAAGTGATGTGGTGCTTTTAAACCATTGGTTTGAATGTATGGAACCATTTTTCTCGCAGATGCATCAAATTACAGTTTGGCGGCGAAGCAGCACAAGCGGAAGCCTGGACCTGGCTCGCAGCCAATCAGCTCTCATCGGTCATCACCACCAAGGAGTCTAGGTACAACCCTGCGCCTTCCCATCTCAAAGCTGTAGCTCTTTTTCATTGACTATCTGTCATTTTCTTTCCATTCCATTTTCTGCCAGCTTTTTGAAGCCCCCTTGTATTGTCAAACAAAGATCATTTCACTCTTCTTTGCTAAGTTTTTGTTGGGACTGACGGGTTTTATAATTAATGAGATGCCATGTAATTATTGTCCAAACCAGGACAGCTTGGATTATGAAATATCTCCCAACCTCCTTTACCATATTCCCCTCCTCAAAGATTGTATCATCAAGAGAAGGTAGTCTTCCAGACAGAAATCAGTATTTTATTTGGTTTCAGGATACACTGCTCCTCCCCCACCTCCATTTCTTCCATTGAGTTGTCACTGTGTGGTAATCATCAGCGTCCTCTGATTGCTCATCTTTGGCTACCACCTAGCAGTCTGTCACCCACCAACTTCCATCTCTATCATAGCATCTTCAGGCTGTATTTCTCCCTCCACTTCTCTCACACACTCACTCCGCGTCTGCTGACACAAACTGCTCTGACAGCTCTTCCCGTAACCTTCCCATTCTTGACGTGCATTTGCAGTTTGTATAATACTGCTGATATTTCAGAGCTGTAGGATTTTAGAATATGGAAGTCTTTTAACCTTAGTTTTCAACTACAAATTAGCACAGTAGATCATTAAAATGCAGATTAGGAGACATCAACCTAGTCTTCTAAATCAAAATTCTACTTGGCTCTAATGTTCATTCAGAAGTAGAAACCAGTGATTTGTGTCTGTTCCTTGTTTTGGAAATCCAGAAACAAAAAATTAAGTGAATTGTGTAGTTAAACATATGGTCAGTGACAGAGAAATTCCAGGCACTAATTTCAACTACTACGTAGTTCCTGACTTAGGATGGCATTCTGTTACGATGTAAGTCCAATCCTATACTGCTACTTCTTTTTTTGTTGTTGTTTAGATTTCATTATTAGTATCTTTACCATTCTGGTCTTTGTCTTTGGGAATTGGAAACGCTACATATACACTTGAGATGTGATGACATCAGCAAACTACACACTGCAACCTTGTATCAAGTACATAAGATATAAAAACCAAAAAACAGGTGGTTATAAGTGTGGTTATTATAACTTGATTATACTGCAAGTCAGGAACTATCTGTATTTCCATAAGTCATAATAGACCTAGTAATGATTTAATTGTATTATCAATCCAATTGTGAGCATCTAAAAAATTTTTTTTGTAAATTCTTGCTTTGAATGGTACATGTGGCGCTGTAGGATCATCACTGAACTGTGAACCACAAGGTTGGCAGTTCAAACCCACAAGCTGCTCCTTGGAAATCATATACAGGGTTCCTCTGAGTCGGAACCAACTTGATGGCACCTAGCAACCACAACAAATAAATATTTATTAAGAATCTGATACTCATTCATACCTTTTGTTTTTATCCAGTGCCACTGATGAAGCATGGAGACTATTATCAGCTTATCTGGAAAGGCACAAAGTCCAGAATAACTTGTATCACCAATGTGTAATCAACAAGCTCTTGTCTCATGGAGTGCCTCTGCCTAATTGGCTTGTAAACAGTTACAAGGTATGTGGTACGTTGGAGAGTATGAGTCTGGTCTTTATCATTCTGAATAATTTCATGAGATGATTAAAAGAAAAAAATAGATAATCTATGGGAGTATACTGATTTATATGCTTTGGGCACCTTTTCAAATATGAAGAACAGTTTAATTCCATACCTGGTATTGGAGATTCAGATTTAAAGTTCCTCAGGTTAGTAATAATACCTGCTTGTATGCTCACTGAATGAGTTTGTAATTAAAACAATGAGTATACTTACAATATATATATATGTCTGAATGAATATTACTGAAAAAATTCACAGGACTCAATGAAGTAGTTAAAATACTACAACAGTGTTTCTGAAAGTCCATTTTTGTAAAAATAATAATAGATGAATCACCTGCATCAGAATTATTGGAGTGGTGGGATTGCTCAAAATAATTGATTACTGAGCTTCACCCCAGACATATGGGATCAAACTGCCTGGGAGGTATGAACTAGGTGTCTGCATTTTAATAGCTCCCTAGTGTAATATTTTTTCATGGTTCAGGAGCTAGAAGTTTGAATTCGGAGCACAGGCTCTAGGGGAGGACTTTAAGATCTTTGTCTCTCAAGCTTTTGCTTCCTGGTTTCTTGGAGTTCTCCATGTGCTTGGCATCTATCTTACCCCATCCCTCCTCTGATCACTTGTTGACTTCATGTATATCTTGTATATCTGCAAAGAAATGGACTCAAGATACACCCTACACTAACCTGTCTCATTAACATGACAAAGACAGTCCATTCCTAAATGTGATTGTAACCACAGGTATAGAGGTTAGGGTTTACAACATGTATTTGTTGAGGACACAGCTCAGTCCTTGACACTTAGCATGCTTGAGTCCATTTTTGTGGCCTGTGTGCCTTTAACCTAGGTGACTCATCCTCCAGCACTGTGTCACACCATTCTGTGTTCCATGGCATATTCATGGCTAATTTTTGAAGTGGCTTTCTACTCAGTCTGGAAGCTCCACTGAAAGCTGTGTGCCGTGGATGAAACAGCTGATATTTTTTTAACTTGATGGCATAGATTCCAGCATCATAGTAATAACTCAAGGCAAAATGGTATCATCAGCTAACAGACAGGTGGTGGTGGAATTCCCTCTTAGACGTAGTTTTCAATAAATTTGGAGTTCTCTTTGAACTAAATAAAATAGGTAAATTCTGCTCTAACTTTATTATGTGTAGGCCTCTAAAACAAAAACCATTCAAACTTTTTTTAAATCATAACCTATACTAAGAAAGGGAGCTCTGTTGGATAAGCACTGGACTGTGAACACGGTTGACGGTTCAATTCCACCAGTTGCTCTGTGGGAAAAAGATGGCGCTTTCTGCTCCCACAAAGATTTGCAGTCTTAGAAGCCCTATACAGGGTGATTATGAGTCTGAGCCGACTTGACAGCACTTAACAACAACAACAGTGTAATTTTTATACACACTTAAGTTTCAGGGCTATTTCACCTGACTCACGTAGGGGAGCTTTGTGAAAATCGTGATGTTAAAGCCTTAACCTATCCCTGACCTACTCAATTCAAATTTGGGAGAGAGGTGGGTTCTAAAGTGTCACAGGTGATTCGAATGCACGTGATTATTAAGAACCTCTTGCTTGGTAAAGTAGAGTCGTCAACAAGAGGAAGCCCCTCAAGGAGGTGGATTGACACAGTGGCTGCAGCTGGGACTCAACCCCGACTGCTAGTGTGAGAACGGCACCAGAACCATGCTGTGTTTTCTTCTGTTGAACATAAGAGTTGCTCGGTGTCAGAGCCTGCTTGATGGCACCTTAGCAATAAGTGAAGAGAGTTTAGAAAGAAAAGCATGTGGCAGTACCCTGGTGAGCATAGATAGAAGGGGAGCATCCAGAGCAAGCCTGGGCGGCGTCTCCTCCTGTGCTGCATTGTAGGTCTGTGTGAGGCGAAACCAACTTGACAGCACCTAACAACATTCAAAACTCAAAGTCCAGGCAGTTTTTTTTAATATGTAGAGTAGCTGATACGGGTAAGATTGTGATCAAATCAGAATATGGAAAGCATATTCTGTATACTTTATTAATGAGCCTACGTAATAGAACCCTTCTATACTTCACTTTTCGTTAGTATATTTCTGCGAAATAATGTGAATACATTATGTATTTAGTTCTCAGCATTACTGGAAAGCCTTACTGGCTTTTACATGTGGAAACTGATGTAGAGAGAAGTTAAATTTTGCTTTAAACACACAACAGGAAGAAGGCCTGTTAACACATAAGGCCTTAAAAGGTGCCCAAGGCTCTTGGAAACCAACCATTATTCCAAAATGTAATGCCTAAACTAAATGCTCACTTAGTTAAACAGTGAGAAACGAAAACACCAGGGGTTCAGACACTCAGCATCCTTGGTCAGTGCGTAGGTAAGATGTAAATAGATAGATGTTCATAGTCGCTTGACTTTTTACAGAAAATTGATGCTGCTGAGTTGCTCCGTCTGTACTTGAACTATGATCTTTTGGAAGAAGCTGTGGATTTGGTTTCAGAATATGTGGACGCTGTATTGGGAAAAGGACATCAGTACTTTGGAATTGAGGTAGGAAGTCCAGATATTTCTTTTTAATTGTGTACTATCACATTGAGTAAGGTTAAGAATCTGAAAGTAGATTACAACATGGGTTAGTAGATTTAACCTTTGTATGTGGGGAGTCCTGGTGTGGCACTGTGGGTTAATGCGCTGGACTGCAAAGCCAATTTGAACTGCAAGGTCAGTGGTTCAAGTTCACCAGCTGCTCCTCAGAAACCCTCCACAGGGTCGCTGTGCGTCAGAACCAACTGGACGGAAACTTAACAATAAAAACATTTGTATGTGGAATCCTCGGTGCTGTGGGTTAATGCATTGGACTGCAAAATCAGTTTGAACTGCAAGGTCTGTGGTTCAAGCTCACCAGCTGCTCCTTGGAAACCCAGTGCAGGGTCACTGTAGTTTGGAACCAACTCAACAGTACTTATCAATAAGAACATTTGTATTTACACAACTTGTTTTCTCCAAGATCAGATTCTTGATAGTCTAGGAGCCTCCGATTTCTATACAACAGGAATGTACATCACTTTCTCCACCAATTGAAGTCGGGTTAGTTAGGGTTTAGAAGAAGTGGTAGATGAGAATAAAATGGTATCTGTTGAACGTTTTCTCATTTTATCTTTATAGCAGTCTCTGAATTATTGTATTTTAACCCTGGTTTTTTTTAACTCATGAGGAAACTGAGGCCCAAAGGCTAAGTTGCCAGAGCTCACACAGATAACAAATAGAAGAGCATGGTTAAATTGTAGATCTAGCTAGCTAGCTAGGAGCCTTGCCTCTTAATCTCTTAGGTAAGTATTCAGAACCTCCAGAGTTAAGGTTTACTCTTTCCAGGTACAGGCACTTCCTGGGTTACAGACATCTCACTAATGGATAAGTCCCATTTGCCCTTGAAGCAGGGCTTTGAACCAGTTCTGTTGTAGTTAATGAAATGAAACAGGGACAGAGCTGAATTTTTACTATTTGGGTGAATCATCACGGAAACCGGAATGAAAATACTACCATTCAGAACCCTAGAGCGGAGGGAGACTTGGAAACCTGAATGAAAATACTACCATTCAGAACCCTAGAGCGGAGGGAGACTTGGAAACCGGAATGAAAATACTACCATTCAGAACCCTAGAGCGGAGGGAGACTTGGAGGAGATATGCTGAGGTCTCACGGGAGCCAGGTGCGTGACCAGAGGTTACTGCCAGGGCCCAGAGAGCTACACAATGGCCTAGCCAGCACCACCTTCAGTCTCAGCTCAAATCGATTTTATAGTTTTGTAAATTTGTGAAGCAATTGAACCAACCCTTACTCGCAACAAATTCTCTATCAAGTCACCTTCCTTGTTTCGCATGCAGCTTTTAAAATCATTAGAAAGACTGTGAGCCTTTTCTTGATCTAAAGTCAGCCTAAATGAGAACCATGTGCACCTGTCCCAACTTAACTACAACTTAAAGGCCCACTTAGTAATGGATCTTGTTTGTAGTTTGGGAACTGCCTCTAATTTGAATGTGAATTTCAGACTAGAAGTTGTATCACTCTTCAGCAATTCAGAGGAGAGTTTTGTTGCACCTGGGTATCAGTAACGGACCTCAGTGCTGCTTTAAGATAAGGATACAGCAGAATTTAGGAATAGATTCAATTTTGACTTAAAAAGGACATTTAAAAAGAGAAAGAAATGGGGAAGAAAGTTCTCTTGTATGTGTGTGCATATATGAGCAGTTTCTTAGTGTCAAACAGAAGAATCAGAAAGTAAAGTATTTTATGTTATAGAAACCTAAGAAGCAACTAACTACCTAGGAGAAATGGTACACTGTTCAGATTTTTCCCAAATAATCCACATTTTCTCCTTTTAGTTTCCACTCTCTGCAACAGCCCCAATGGTGTGGCTCCCATATTCCTCAATCGATCAGCTTCTCCAAGCTCTGGGAGAGAATAGTGCCAATAGTCACAACATCGCAGTAAGTAAATCTTTTCCTGGGGCGTCTTCCGTCAGCACTTGCACTTTCAGTTACACTGTACAGCTCGCTCTTCAGTTCTCAGGACTTGAAGGGAAGGAGAAAACCCATTTAGTGCCCTAGGCGTGCTGCACCAGTCCCTTTGTACATAAAGCAACTTAGTCATTTATTCCCCAAAGCCAGTGAGGTCTCGTGTACTAATTGCACAGAGACCAGTGTCCTGCAAGCCATTCTTCAGTCCACAGTGTAGTACGACAGACACTGCAGGGTGGGAAGACAGTTGAAATGCAGTATGATAGATTACCATCCATCAAGTGAGCATACACAGCCACACAGCCCACCACACAGTCGTCAGCTACTACTGTGAAGAAAAAAAGTGATTTATTGTAGTGATGACTTCTTTATCAGTTAGGCCGAAGTAGAATGTCTCCTGGGTCTACTAGTAGACAAACCACTAGTAGTTTGTATTCCTGCAAAACCATGGAAGGGCTGTGCATGAATTCTGCTGACTTCACAAGGGGGAAAGAGAATTAAACTCAAAATCAGCCCAAGGTACATTCCTATGAAATGGAGGTCAGATATGCCTCCCCACTACAACCTTCTTTACCCTATTCTGACACCAGCCATCTCCCACAGCACCCTCTACGTCACATCTGGGTCTGTACTCCATGACAGAGGCACACAGAGCTCACAACAGTCCTCGTGATTATGGGATTTATTAGGGTACAGCTCAGCATTAAACAACTCAGGATGCAGCAGTTGTCCAGTCAGGAATGCCTCTTCTCTGCCATACTGCAGACACACCTCACTCTGGTCTTTGGCCTCTCAGCCATGTGGCCCCTTGGCCTCTGCCGTGCTCAGGCACATGTTACAAAGCTCTTTGGCCAGTCTGTGAATGCCTAAAGGGCACATTCTACAAGCCAGTCTCCTGCCCATAAGTACTCAGCTTTCCTGGGTCCGTGGACCTAGCACCCTCAGCTGCTCTGTCTCTCCATGTCACTGCTCTCTCTCCTTTTCTAGGTAGGGATCTCACACTCCACTCATGCACTTGCTTCTTGATGGTCCTGAGATTGACTGCTCCTGCTTCTAAGCTAGTTCCTTTTAAACCTAGCTCGATGGCAGAACTAACCTGCCCAGTCACTTAGTGGGAGTTAAGACTTTGCACAGAAAAGCCACATCAAGTAAATTCAGTTACCACATTTCCAAACTGTGAGGCAAGAAGAAAAAAGGAAGACAGCCACAAAAATTTGTTCCTACTGATTGGGTCTACCAAGTGAGTTTAAGGAAAAGGTTAAATAATTTTAAATATCTAAACTATTAGCCCAAGGAGCCCTGGGTAGCATAGCTGGGCTGCAAACCACAAGGTCAGCAGTTCAAATATAGCAGCCACTCCATGAGAGTAAGATGAGACTTTCTGTTCACATAACGATTTACAGCCTTGAAAACACTCTACAGCGTCACTATGAACTGGGACCAACTCCACAGTGTGCAGCCACCAGCACCACCAAACTATTAGCCCTGTACTTCACTTGGCAGCTAATGCCTGGTTAAATCCAATGAAGCCTCCCCGGTTCTGGAAAACGCTATCAATGCTTTTATTAAAAACACTAATGCAAGCTGTATATTTAAAGAAAATTCCTTAGGAAATCCAGTTGTATCTGTAGAGTCACAGACCAGACTCTGCTTACCCACTGACGTCCAGTCAGTTCCCACTCCTAGATAGCCTGTAGGACAGAGAAGAACCGCTCCACGCTGTGAATCTCCAGACCCTGGCTGACACATCTCTAACCACCGACCTTTTAGTTAGCGCAGCCTAGCTCTAAACCACTGCACCCCTAGGCCCCTTCAGACTCTATATAATGTGATTAAATGAAGCAAAGTGCCTAACATCTTTATTGGAGTCTAGTTGGTGAATTCAAAGAGAACAATTCATCTTTTCTTGTCCTTGAGCTCTTCTGTGATGATTTCCTTTCTTTCTCTTACAGTTGTCTCAGAAAATACTTGACAAATTGGAGGACTACCAGCAAACAGTTGATAAGGCAACACGGGATTTATTGTATCGTCGGAAATTGTGACACTGATTGTTACCTAGCCTTTGTAACCACTTGGTGCCTCTTAGGGCTTAAGACTTCACCCTACAGGAACCCAGTTCTTGAGGCTGAGTTTTCTAAATGTAAATAACAGTAGACAACATTCAAGACTGCTTTCTGCACAAAGTAGGAAAACAGCCGTGAGTCCGAGGGCCCTGTGCTTGCTGGTGGTGCTAACACACAATTTCTGGTTTTCAACCTTGATCTCAAACAGCTGCTTTTGTATATTATTCACAAGCTTTTTTAGAGTTTATATTTTTTTAAACTACTGAAGACATCTTTATCTGCAAATTAAAACCCACCGTCATTTTCCAGAATACCTGATGGTTGTTGGTTTGTTATAGCTAACTACCAAAAGCAGTCACTGCAACTCTTTTCATTCTCCCCGATCACTTTTTGTATTTCGATGGAATTATTTTGGTCCAGAACTGACATGTATTTTCTGTATTGCAAACAGGCTGATGATTTTGCGTACTCTTTTCGTTATTTATTGTGGATTTTTGTATGACCTCCAATAAAAATTAATTAATCTGGCTAGATGATGACCAGCTGTTTAAAAGAGGATATTTTATTTAAATTTGATTTTGAGGCAAGTAAATTCTAAGAAAAAATTGGAAAACCATCATTTATAAAAGCAACAGATTTTCAATGTAAATGGTTACTTTTTATAATTTATGACATCAAGCTGGACTTGATCAAATAGTCTAATAATATACTGGACCAAAATAGAAGCCTTCCTGGTCAGAGTCAGAAGCATTCATGCCCACAAATTTTGGGTTGAGTGGAAAATAGTAAAATCTACTTGCATTTTAGTCTGTATATTAAAATTTATCTTGTAAAAAAATGATCTGCATACTGATTGCTTGTGTGTCCTTTGATACTCTTAATTTTTTCTTTAACCTTTAGTTTTGATGATGTTATTAAGACCATGTTTATATATTTAAAATAACAATGAATTTCACCCCAGTACTCTTTTTGGTAAGGAGCCCTGGTAGTGTATGTAGCAGGTTATAAGTTGGGTTGCTAACCACAAGGTCACCAATTCGAATTCACTAGTGGCTCCTTGGGAAAACAATAAGGCTGGCTGCTCCTGTAGAGATTTACCAGCTCGGGAACCTATACAAAGTTGCTATGAGTCAAAACTACCTCAACACCACCACCACTCTTATTGGTAGGTATTGAGTTATGTGTTCCTTTTCATTTAAGCTCTGCCCATACTAATAGATGGAGTTTTGTACAATTAAGGACTGGGAGAGCCCTTGCCCTCCCAACTCTAAAACCATCGCTTCCACAAATAGTATCTATAAAACACGTCTGACATAATGACCTACATATACAGAAAGAGCCAAAAGAAAAGTTTCACAAAATTTGTATACTCATTATATATCCTGTAATCCTGTGTGGTCTGTAGGTTAATGTGCCAGACTGCAGAGCCATTTAAACTGCAAAGTTGGCGGTTCAAGCCCACCAGGTGCTCCTCAGAAACCCTATACTGGATCGCTATGGGTCGGACCCAACTTGACAACACTTAACATTATATATATTTCCTGCTGTTTTCATGAGAGACTACTGGTTCTAACCAATAGGCTTTGAAACGTTAAACTGCCCCTTAGACTGGAGCCAACCCAGTTCTGTCCAACTGCATCTGCTTCCCAGACAAAGCACTTCCTTCCACTGAAGCTAGCTGCTTTGGGTCATTTTATTTGAAGGACTGTGTGGTATTTTCATAATATATAACAGCATCATTATTGCTTATTTTCAAACTCTGAGAATTTTCAAATCACAAAGTGATATTTTTAAAAGGACTCCTTCAATGAATTGCAGGGTCTGGGGGCTCAGGGTCATAGTCTCAAGGGATGGGGTGTGGTAGTGTGCTGTGGAGTCAGTTCTGACTCATAGTAACCCTGTATAGGGTTTCCAAGGCTGTAAATCTTTACGGGAGCAGAAAGCATCATCTTTCTCCTGTGGAATGGCTGGTAGGTTTTGAACTGCTGACCTTGAGGTTAGCAGCCCAACTCGTAACCACTATGCTACCAGAGCACCATGGTTAATTGATACAACATAGTCCACAAAGATAATGTTCTGTGTATCCTACTTTTGCAAGTAGAGACTGGGATCTTAAAAACTCATGAGCAGACATCTAAGATAACAACTATTGGTCTCGCTGTGTACAGAGGAAAGAAGAGTGATGAAAATTGCAGATACTTGAAAAATGTTAGCCCAGTGGACTAATGGAAACCATGAACATAAGTCTCCATGATTGAGACCAAAAGAACTAGATGATGCCCAACTCCCAACTGTTCTATAAGGGATCACGTTAGAAGGTCCTGAAGAGAGTGGAAGAAACTGTGAAACAAAACAAAGTTATTTAAAAAAAAAAAAAAAAAAAAGATTTACTAACCAGAAAGAAACTAGAAAAACCTGACACTATATCCCTGAAGTCAACTTTCAGGTCTAGAACTGAACTCACCTTTGTGACTCAAGTTTCAGCCAAGTAGTAGATAGGTTTATAGTGGGGGCAACAATGCTAGTGAGGTATGCACACCTTGGAATGGTGTGCCATTCAAGATAAAAGGGCAGTACTTACCCACAAAATTCAGCTTGGCTGGAAAATAAGGTTGGATGAAAATAGGAATCACAGGAAGTAGAGTTAATGATATTACACTAACAAAATCATTAAAATGAAATACATGATTTGTTAAATGTAAAACTGATGATCTGCTGTATAAACCTTGACTCAATTCACTTTAAAAAGTTAAAGAAAAAATCCACCATCGAAAAACCTATGCAACAGTTCTACTCTGACACCATGAATCAAAATTGACAGCAAATCATATCTTGGATAATATTAAAAATGTACTGTTACATTTTGTGAGACTCAAGCAGATAAAAGCCAATAGGGCTCACTCCCTTTTAGGCATTAGATACATAGTTGCCTCTGAGTCAATTCTGACTCTTGGCAGCCTTATATACAACAAAAGAAAGCAAAGTCCTAGCAGACATCATTCCTCAATGGCCCTCTACTTCATCAAACTAGTTATCCACCTCCAGCAATTAATCTCATGGGAGAAACGGTCTACTCAGTAAACCTGCTGCAAAAGACCTAACTAAGGTGCACCTGACCCAGTACATGCTATTTTCAGTCACCTAGCATAGTGGTTATGAATCAGGCTGTGAACCTCAAGGTCAGCAATTCAAAACTACCAGCTGTTCCACAGGAGAAAAATGAGGCTTTCTGCTTCCCTAAAGATTTACAGCCTTGGAAACCCTGTGCAGGGTCGCTATAAGTTGGAACCGACTTCATGGCACCTAACCACCACCACCACCAGTGAATAAGGGAAATCAAAGGAGAATTGATGCCTTTAAATTACGGTGTTAGCAGAGAATATTAAGAATATGGACCACCAGAATAACAGACAAATCTTTGTTGGAATAAGTGCAGCCAGATTACTCTTGAGAAGCTGCAATGGCAAGACTTAATGTCACTCACTTTGCACCAGTCCCTGGAGAAGAACTCAGACTTGGTGAAATAGTGAGAAAGAGGAAGGCCTTCAGTGAGACACAGTGGCACAATGACTTCAACACTGGACTCCACCAGCTGTGGTCGTGGAGATGGCGCAGGACTGGGCAGCTGGTGGCATTAGGGTTGATGTCACCCCACTGCCGTGGCCCTTCTTCCATACCAGACCATACAGAATCCTTACTAATGTTGCTTACTATCAAATTCAATCATGAAACAATGTGATCAAGTTGGAACTTACTTTGATGTCATATTGCTGAGATTATGCGAGTATGAATACTAGCAAAACTATAAAACTTTATGTTGAATTGTAACATAATTAATAACTGAGCAGAAGCCTTTTTTTTAACTTTTCTCCATTTCCTTTAATTACTACTTCATTCTCAAAAAAGCTACTGAAATAGATTCACAAATTCTAATTACCATAATGTTGTAACTAAAACACTAGGAAATTTGAAAAAATTAGTGCCTATAAAATCACCAACCACAAGGAACACAACAACACATGCAGACAAAACCCCATGATTCGAAGCCTCATTGTAATTAGCTAATAACAGCTAATTATTGTTGTCATAATGACCAGAGTGCATTGTTGTTGTAAAGTGCTGTGGAGTTGGTTCTGACTCACAGTCCCTGTATAGGGTTTCCAATGAGCAGCTGGTGGGTTTGAGCCACTGACCTTGTGGTTAGCAATCCAGTATGTATCTTACAGCGCCACACCAGGAGTTCAGAGTGGTTTAGAAAGTTCAAAACATAAATGAACATAGTCTTAGCCTTATAAACAAATTAGTACATGTAAGCTGGCTTACTAAAAATGTTCTTGTTATAACTAACTACAGGGATACGTTTTTTTTTTTTTTTCTTAAATGTTTTATTGTGGATTATGTGATAGTTACATGGGAGAACATTAGTTTTACATTCATTGCCATGGTTACAATCCCCTCCATGCTATCCTTCCCCAGTACCTCCCAGGTCTTCAGCACACAGTCCTCTCCCTCTCTGGATCTAAAGTCTCCA